AAACATATTCAAGAAAAAATAACTTAAAATATATACCTGTTCTGCAGGCACACATGTAGGTGTGCACGTGCACATGCACACGTGTGTGCATTGTTCCAAAAGCTGGATTGCCTAGCGCCTAGGTGGCCGCCTAGGCAGTCCAGAGGACTTGGGTGCCAAGGCCTAGGCAGCCTGCCCCAGGGCGGCCTCCTAGGCGAGTGGACGCCCAGGACCTGCGCCCCACCCATGGGCGGAAATACCCTAATTAAGGGATATTTTTGGGTTCTTTTAGAAAAGAGGGGACAACAGTGGGTTTTAGGTTCATTTCAAATCTAACCATTAGAGCCCATTTTAGAAAGAGAAAAGCCTTAAAAAAACTAGATTTTTGTGATTTCCCTAGATTTTAGGAGTTCCTTCTATTGGGCCCCCGGATTCCCCCAGCCGCCTAGGTATCGCCCAATGTTCTTGTTTTTTGGAACACTGCATGTTTTTTTTTTTTTGGGAAGGGGGGGGGGGGTAATAGAAAGGGGGGAGCGCAAAGCAATTGTGAGAGATGATGGACTGCCCTCATTTTTCTGTGCATGAACGGTAATGAGAGAGAGAGTAAAACAGCAAAGACGGGGGGGAGGGAATGCAATTGTGAGAGATGATGGGCTGCACTCATTTTCTCTGTACATGAACAGTGCTGAGAGAGAGAGGAAATGCTGGCCTGGGTGGGTTGGGAGGTGATACATGATGGGTTGTACTCATTCTTCTGTACATGAGCAGTTCTTCAGCGACAAAATGAACAGCGGTGTGAACATGAAATGGAGGAAATTAGAAGGGGAGCTGAGTCCGGAAACATCAGACCTGATACCTCACTTATTAGGTTCTCAAATGAGACCCTTGATGAGCAAAAGCACTGCACCAGTCTTGCTGATGAAAAGGTTTCTCTGGCTGTTCAAGCTTATGACATGGTATTTGAATTCAAATATCTTTTGCAAAGTATCTTTTCCTGAATTCATTATTTTCTTTCTCCTTTCTTTTTGATAATTGAAGGACATTTATCAATCTAGGAACCGTATTGGTGAACCTACTAATGACTTGATTAGTTTCCCTGTATATTATTCCTTTTTTACTTGTTTACTATATCTTTCAATTGATGTGCATTATTGAGGAAGTGCTTACCCATGGGAAGTGACTGTAATCGTTTCAGGTTGATACTTACATCCAACAATTAGATAAGTATATGAAGAAATTTGATGAAGACCTTCGGAGAGGTATAAACCATTTCTCACTTGCCAAATTCTAGAATTATGTGCAGTTAAAATCAGGATTTAAACTCCATACTTATTCTGGCTATAAGAAAATTGTATTGCATAAATCCTTTCAATGATATTATTCTCTAATATATTCTTATATGTGTCAATCTCTATTGACATGCAGCAGAAAGGGAACTTGCTGGTGCTTCTGGAGCATCCGAGAATGCTGGGAGCAGTGCAAAATCTGGTAGGACCAGTGAAAGTAGTAGCAGAGGAGGTCGTAAGAAGTATGCATCTTTTTGAAGCCTTCCCTTTCAAAATGAATTCTTTGCTCACTAATGCATAGATACTTGTTGTAGTGATTGTATTTGAATGTTTTATTAAACGTACTTCAATATACTGTAGATTATGGGAAATATACATTTTATATCATACGCAAGTGGGCATCCACCCATAGTTGTTAGAAGCAGGAGCGAAGGCCTGGGATTGGTCTGTGGCTGAAGCTCCCTACTGAAGTGTTGTTTAGGTTGCAGGCCGGTATATGTATTAGGAGCACTTGGGTATTACCAAAGTGATTTAAAAAAGTGAAAAATGTATAATCTACTTTTTAGCATTATCTACACACATGCACAATGAGAACTCTATAGCTTGAAAGTTCCAAAAAAAATTAGGAAAAATGAGTTTGTGGTAGGGTCATGATAATAATTGAACTTAGGAATCGCCTGAGTCCCTGCAGTGAACATGGCGAGACAGGTGGATTTCACTACAGTGAGTACCACCCATTTCTGGGCAACCCAGTAATCTCCTTTTTGGGACCATCTGGAATGGTGACTCCCCTGGGTCCAGCCTGAGTGCCTGCGGTGAACTTGGCAAGACAGAGCGGATTTCACTACAGTGAGTACCACACATTTCTGGGCAACCCAGTAATCTCCTTGTATGGGGCCATCTGGAATGGGGACTCCCCTGGGTCCAAGCCAACTTGTGCAACATCAAGTCTGCTTGCTAGTTTTCAACCACCGATGGAAATGAAGAACAGAACAAAATCATTGACAAGTGGTTGTTAGCTAGAAAATCTCATCAGAAAGGAAAAAGAATCAGAACAAAGTCAAAGATACCAGGTTTAACATTCTAAAGCTTTTGAAACTAGGATTGAGATGACCGCAGACCAAGATTGCGTTCCCATCTTCATTGAGGTCGTGATGATCAAGATCCCTTGATGAGGGGTAGCAAGCTTCACTTGGGCTCTGGCTCCAAGATCACTGAAGAGAGATTCCAAAGGGGGATCTCTACCCTGCAACCAAGCTCCTCGCATATTTGCATCCATCATTGATTCTTAAACTGGATGGTGATGATTACCCATGTCTTGATTTATATGTTACACAGATCATCTGAGCTACTCATCTTTCCAAACATACAGAAAGGTGCAGCAGTTCTTTGTGAATAAATGCTTATTCCATGTTGGTGTTTTCTTTTATTAAATTTGATGTTCATGAATGCATGGAATGAGAGCTGGGAAAAACAACTCATACAAATATTGGTTTTGTCTACGGAAAGGTATGATAGCTTGGGTCATACACAGTTTTCATATTTATAAAGTACTGGTTTCTGGAGTATTGGGCGGACAAAAACATAAACAGAAGTACTAATGTGTGTGCACATTATGCAGGAGATACATAATATGTACAAAACAAAATTTGAACCCATGAGATGATGTAGAATATACAATTTGCTCTATTTTTCTGAGCTGATGACTTTTGTGAATGTATATTGCTGCAGTGTCTGCTTTTCTTGTTTAGGGCATACTAGAAACTCATTGAGATTTCTGTTATTTTTGGTTTCCGCTCTTTCTCACTTGACACCTCTTCCCACCCATATTCTTTTGTCTTGTTCAATTCATGCCCCTGATTCAGGCTTACTGTAATGCTCTATCCTGACGAGAATTATCTTTTTAAATCCCAAAGTTCGATGTCATCCTGCCTCAATGGACATTTTGAGCCCAACCACCTCACTAGCCAGTGACGGTGCAATAGAATTGTCATAATTGCAATGTGCTCTGCATAGACTTATTATTACTGAAATGCTCCCATCAGTTTCATCAGGTGCATTAAGAAGGAATGCGTGAAGGTATGATGTGCAGATATGCATTTGAAACCAGTGTTGACATTTTTCGACACTAATACAGTAACTGGATGCTCCAATGATACTTGCAAACATAAAGTGGTGGATATATTAAAAATATAATATGAAGATACTATATAGTTGTGCATTATGCTATGGTATATGCCAAGGTTAAAAAATGCAGCCGAGTGAGTGGACCCCGAGTTTCTTGGACTCCCCCTTTTGGCGGACCGAGTACTTGGGTTCAAACTTGAGTATTTTAAAAAGTTCATTAAAAAATAATAAAATTAGATTTTCTGTATAATCAAAGATATATTTTATACATAATTTTGATATTTTTGATGATGATTTGTGAGTTTTTCTAGTTTTTCTTGAAATATGCCCTAGTTTTATATTTTCCTCTTTTTTTTGGAATTTTCTGAAATGTTTCTGGCGGTGAATCAATTTTTTCTCAATCTATCTCTTATATATTTTACCATCTTATTTATACTCATATATTTTATGTGATCGCCGCATTATCAATGACGCTGAAGGAGAAGTTTTATAGGACAACTTTGCTTTATGGGAATAGAAAGTTGGGTAGTCAAGAAACAACATACCTATAGGATGAGTGTAGCAGAGATGAGAATGTTGAGATGGATGAGTGATAGGATAAGAAAGGATAGAATTTAGAATGAATATATTTGAGGGAACTTCGGAGTGGCTCTAATAGGCGACAAGATGAGGGAAAGTAGACTTAGGTGGGCTGACCATGTGCAGCACAGACCCAATATAGCACCGGTTAGGAGGTGTGATTTAGTTCAAGTGGAAGGCTCTAAAAGGCAAGGGGAAGGCCCAAAAGGTCATGGATGGAAGTAGTGAGAAAAGATATATGGACTTATAGTCTTACTAAGCGTATGACCTTTGATAGAGCAGAATGGCGGAACATGATTCGTGTAACTTGGGCGAATCCACTCGGACTTGCTCGAGTTATTCAGCTTTGGCAAGGCCCAAGTCTTGGACTTGACCTGAGTTTTGGAACCTTGGTATATGCATGTTTCCTGCAATGGGAACATAGCAGTAGAAAGAACCGTTGGCATAAACGATGCATTCATAGAATTAGGATATCAGAAGTGAAAGAATCTTTGAAGAGGATGAAAATAGGGAAGGCTTTAGGACCAGATGGCTTCTCGATAAAAGTTTGGAAGTGTATAGGGGAGATTGGTATTGATTGGCTAACCAAGGTGTTTACAACAAAGAAAATGCCTGATGAATGGAGGATAAGTACTGTGGTACTTATTTACAAGAACCAAGCAGATATATAGAATGTACAAACTATCGAGGGAAAAAACTTATGAGCTACACTATGAAGTTGTGGGAGGGAGTGATTGAGCAATGACTAAGGCGTGAAACGAGTGTATTAAAAAACCAATTCCGTTTTATGCCAAGGAAGTCAACAACTTAGGTTATTTTCCTACTTAGGCAACTGATTGAGAAGTTTGGAGCAAAGGGAAAATACCACATGGTTTTCCTTGATTTAGAGAAAGCTTATGATAGAGTGCTTCGAGATAAATGTTTGTAAAATCAAACTGAAAAGGTTAACCGAACATGGACTCGGAAGCGGTTTAACCGGCCTAACTAATAAACCGGCCGATTCAACTGTTCTAACCGGGCAAGTCCTAGGCAGTCAAAAAAGTGTTGAACAAATAAAAAAGATACAAAAAAAATCTACTAAAATATGAAAAATATATAAAGCATGATTAAAACACACATTCAAATGAAGTTGAAAATTAATGAAAATAAATGAATTTCAACGAATCAATTTTTGAATTAAAGTGAGTATTAATGACCAAAACAAATTTTAATCTTTACTATAATATAAAGAATATTAAAAAATACATTACAAACCAAATTCCTTAGTTTTGGAAATTTATATACATATTTTTTAATTTGCTTTAAACACGGGTCGATCACCAAAACCGCCCAAAACCTTCAGTGGCCGGTTTTGATCTAACTGGGTGGTTAGTGGTTAGATTCCCTAGTTTTTTCAACAGGGCTCGCGATTTGATTTGGTGGGTGTTGGAAAAAAAAGGAGTCTCAGTGGAGAGACGAGTGAGTTTTCAATCAGTGTACATTAGGGATCAGTATCATAGTTGTTGGAAACACCTGAGAACTCGAATCGTTTTAGGAATCGGAATCACGACTGCCTAGAAGATTCTTGTTTTAGGAATCGATGTCCGTATAATGGGAATAACGAGGAATGAGATTCCTAATTTCTTGGAATCGTGTCTCGGCCAAAATAGATTCAAGAATCTAGATTCATCCACATCTGAATCGAGATTTCGACCTCCTTGGAATCGAGATTCCCATCCCCCTAGAATCGATACTCGAGGAGTCAAGATTCATTGATATGTGGAATCGAGATTCCGACATCTATGGAATCAAGTTTCCACATATGTGGAACAAAGATATGTTGCAGTTTAGAATTGTGATTCCAACATATTTGGAATCAAGTTTCTGATGTATATGGATTAGAGATCCATGCTAGTTTGATATCGAGAATTACAATAATATGGAATGCGTTTGACCCCTACCAAGAATCGAAATTTCAATTTTATGGAGTAGGGAGCCCCATACACATCTTGAGCCTTATCAATTTTAGAACATATATCAGATGTCTCTTATTTGAAGGGTTCTCAAGTTTTAAAGTGATTGTATTGACTATTGAACTTAGGAAAAATAATCTACTAGGAAAATTATTTACAAAACATATGTATTTCTAAATTCTGATTTTGACTTCATTATTTTAAAGACAAAATAGGATTATGTCTATGCCATGTTTTTATTTGTATGTGTTTTATTTACCAGTTATATTTTAAAGTAATGGCCGTCCAGGGTAGCACAACTAAAAATATCCTTTAGAAGCATTAGAAGCATTCAAAAGAAGATTTCTACTCCAATATCCTTTAGAAAGTGCACAACCATCATAGACATTGGATATTATGTACTTGGAATAGTTTTATTTTATTTTTACATCTACTATATTTTATTTTTTAGTTATTTTTTTCCCTCACATTCACATTATACCATAATAGTAGAGGAGAAATTAAGTCTGAACTTTGAACATCAAGCACACATATGAATACATATTGCATGAAATAAAAAGCAACACACGTGGATAAAGAGAGATTTTGATGTCGAACAATCGCTAGAATTTATATATTGTGTAATAAAAAAACTAAAAGATACAATACTTCATACATAGCTTTCGGTAGATGATGATGGGAACATTTTGGTGACCGAGAGGTTGGGGGCAGGGGAGGGTGGGGGATTAGAGAGAGAGAGAGATAAGAAGAAGAAGAAGAAGAAGAAGAAGAAGAAGAAGGGAGGGGGGGCTGTCGGCTACAATTTGTTCCTTGCTGCTGCGAGGAGCCATTTCATGGAGGTTGAAGCAAGATTCCATATTTGATTGAATCACACTTCCCTACTCCTATGAACCAATATGCTATACATTGTAGATTCTAGATTCAAAACCTTAACGAAACAAGATTCATTACATGTGGAATCGTGTATCACTCGAGGTGGGCTCAAGATTCAATCTTTATTGGAGTCAAGATTCGATATATTTGGGATCGACTTTCAAAAAATAATGGATTCAAGATTCTTAAGATGTATTGAAACAAGATTCCTAAATTAAGGAATCGAGATTCCTTAGTTTCGAGAAATAGTTTCGGTAAAGATTCCTTAACGGAATCGTCGAATCCGGTGTTCAAATCATAATCATGGGGAGATTCCGATAACTATTGTCAGTATTGAGCCAATACCTCTTTGTCTTAGTTATGGACGACTTAATTAGGCACCTACAAGATGAGGTACCGCGGTGCATATTGTTCGTAGATGTCATAATTTTGATCGATGAGACCTGAAATGGCGTCAACACAAAGTTAGAAGTTTGGAATGATGCTCTAGAATCTAAAAGTTTTAAAATTAGTTGGACTAAAACAGAGTATATGGAATGCAAGTTTTGTGTAATAGGAGTAGAGACGAGGAAGTAGTTAAGATTGACAACCGGGAAATACTAAAAAAAGCGCGCTTTCAATATCTTGGGTCGATAATACAGGAAAATAGAGAGATTGAGGAAGATGTCACACATAGTATTAGAGCTGGGTGGGAGAAGTGGAGATGGGCAACCGGAGTTATCTGATTGCTGCATACTAATGAAGCTGAAGGGGAAGTTCTATAGGACAGATGTGGGACCAGCTTTGCTTTATAAGGTAGAATGTTAGGTGGTCAAGAAACAACATATACCCATAGAATGAGTGTAGCTAAGATAAGGATGTTGAGATGGATGAGTGGCAAGACAAGAAAAGATAGAATTCAAAATAAATACATTTGGGAGAATTTAGGTGTGGTACCAATAAGTAATAAGATAAGAGAAAGTAGACTTAGGTGGGTTTCCTTGAGGATGTATTAGGAGTTCCACCAATCTGATCAGGTGTATTTCTACGAAGTCCAAATCATGTGTTTCTTCCTAATTCCTCATGGTGAGAAACTTGTCGTCGTTTCTCCACTACACGAATGGAATACTCAATATTGAGTTAGATTCCTACAGCTGAACTACCAAAAACAAAAAAACAGAAAAAAACAGGAAAAAAAAAAACACGAAGGTTGTTGCTCTGTAAGTGTTTCCTGTTTCCCATGTCATAATATCCTATTTTTAATTCGAACATGTACAGCACATGATGTGTTTGTTTATTCTCAGGAAATAACAGTTGTATGGATACTTATCAAGGAAAAACATATCAAAAAAAAAAAAGTGAATAGGTCTGTTTGAAGTTTGCCAAATAAAAGAGTTCTGTTTCCTTTCTCACAGGCTTATTTATTCTATACCACTATGTTCCTTATTTGCTGCTACCAAGGGAATACATGCCAATTGCTGTGCAGCCAAGCATTTGCTTTCATATACTTCATTCATGACTTTGGCTTAAATTGTCTAAGTTTCTGTTTTTTGTGAATCCAAATGCATCTCTCTAGTTGAATAATGTCCGCTAAAATTATTGTAAAGCTCATAGCCTCATACAAGGCTGTCATGCATGCATAAGTGGATCTCTCTCTCTCTCTCTCTCTCTTCCCACCCCCCCCCTGTGTGCATGTTTATCCCTTTGGGCACCATTTTTATCCTCTGTCCATTCACATATCATGTGTTTCTAATTAAATAGTGTGCCACTTTTTGCAGATCACGGGTGGCTGCCGAACCACAAAACATGGACTTGGATCTACCAGTTGATCCAAATGAACCCACATATTGTTTCTGCAACCAGGTTTCCTATGGGGAGATGATTGCATGCGACAATACATATGTACATACGGATCTCCTTTTGGTTCTTATCATTTTCCACCCATGAAAATGTCAAAATTTTTTCTCTCTTTTGAGCAGCACTTAAGTTGGGTCTGTTGATATGCAGTGCAAGATAGAGTGGTTCCACTTTGGCTGTGTTGGTCTGAAAGAACAACCCAGAGGGAAGTGGTATTGCTCAAGCTGTCTTGGACTTCAGAAGCGCCGAAAGGGAAAATGATTTGTGCTGACTGAGCCTGATCAAAAACAAGGTATGCTCTTTGATGCTTGTAATATAAATACAGTGTTTGAAATGGATTTACCCAAAATTCTGGATTGCGAAAACCTGCTCTTAAGGAATCATTTGATATTAGAAAGTTCTCTCTCTCTCTCTCTCTCTCTCTCTCACACACACACACACACACACATA